ACACTATTAACTGAGCCAATGTCCACAGCTGCTGGTCTCCCATAGGATGACAAGGTCTGTGACAAAGAGGAGCTGGCAAGTTGGCTTAGCAGGTAGACACTGCCTCCATTAGCTCTATCTCTGAGCCTACCTGGGAGAGGTGGAGAACTGACTCCTGTGAGCTGTCCTCTGATCTCTGCATGTCACATGGCCACCTCCCCACCACCACCCTGCTCTCCCCAAGGAGAAGACAATCGGTCAAGAAGGAGAAGTGAGACTGCAGAACTGACCATTCTGGGTACTGTGCCTGTCACTGTAGTATATGTCACTAGTGTATGTGCCTTTACCAGCTCTCTCTCCTCATCAGAAAGCAGGGGCTTGGTCTCATTCACAGCTGGATCCCCTTTAGAGTCTGGCACACAGTAGACAAGTATTTTGTATTCAGCTGAGTTCCCAGGGCAACTCAGAAGAGCCTATGATTAGGTCCTAGGGAGAGAAGTAGCCATGAGGGCTTCTCGATGCTGCTGTTGCTATGGGAGAGGCAGGAGGGAGGAGGGATAGAAGGCCAGCAGTGCTGGGGAGCTAGCTCAGGCAGTACAGTGCTTGTCACACAAGTAAGACGCTCTGGCTTTGATCCTCAGAATTAGAAGACAGCCATGCCCAGTGGCATGCACCGATATCCTAGGTATCTCTTGGCTTGATGGACAGCCAGTTTAGCTGCACTGGGAGCTCCAGACCAAATCAGAAACCCACTCCAAGAAACACAAGAGAGCAGTACATGGGAGAGGGGGTTGTGGGGGAAGAGGGGCAGTAACTCATTCCAAGGCGTCTTTATGAAGCATGAGTATGAGGATTCACAGGAGTGCACAATGTTGTACTTCTAGAACATTCCACCATTCATTCATTAGCATAGTTCAGCTTTTAGCATCATTATAAGTGTTAATACATGGATTGATTCACTAAGGCTCCTGACAGCTCCCCCAAGCAGATGAACCACCTGATTATGATTTTTTTCAGTTAGTGAGGACATCTCAATTTGAACCCAGGATGTAGAATCTGTGACATTACCCACTGAGCCATACGTTCTTCTGTGAGATATTATTTTAAAGTTTGTCCTCACTGGGATTGGGGGGGGTATGTGTCACTGTGTTCAAGTTTCATATGAAGAATCAGAGAGGCACAGCTATTTACCCAGAGTCACACAGCTACTAAGTGGCTCCTGGAGAAAAGCTGGGTGTCAGATTCAGTAGTGAGTGAGTTGGGTGTCAACAGGTGGTACGAGATGCTAGGACTAGGGAGACATCTTGCAGTGTCCCCAGAGGGGGCTCTACAGGCTCCTGAGAAAGTTGGGGCAGGCAAGTTAGAAAGTGGAGGAAGAAGAGCACCATCTGCACCCGTGGCTGCTCTCGAACGGTGGCTGAACAAAATAGAAGCGGTTCTGTGGGCTGGGAAACCACAAGGAACCAAAGACTGGATCATTCCACAAAGGCCCACTGTGTCAGCGGAAGTGAGACTGTGCCTGGGAGGGGATTTCAGGGCTCCGTCTCTGGTCCCTGACTAGTCTCGGACTCAGGTCAGCTCAAGCTAGCCTCTTCTGGATAACTCCCCTGAGAGCTCCCCAGTCCCAGCCCTGAGACCCTTATCAAGAGTCAAGAGTAGGGAAAACAACAGGGGGTCTTGAAGTGGGCCTCCCTGGGTTCTGGGAATCTTGGAGGCGGCCCAGGCAGCGGTGTGGGAGGCGACTGAACTGGTTTAAAACCAAGCAGGCCCAGCTGCTGCCTCTTCTCCGGACTGAGGAGAGAGAACTAGCAATCAGGTGAGACTCTCATTTGTGGGGCTACCCAACAAGGCGGGGGGTGTGGGTCCTGCCCCTGTGTCGGGATGCAGAGCCAGCACAGCATGGGGATATCTCAAAGCGGACTGGACCATTGGATTCTTTCCCAGGTAGGAGGTGGAAATGGAGGTCCAGGGCACACGGGGCTCCCTCATGTGGCCTGGAAGGGCCCGTTCCTCACAGGATCTTGGCAGCTCCCTGGCTTCCACATCGCCCTCTATTCTCCCATCTTGTCCACATCCGCTCTTCCCACCTTTCATTATCATAGCCCGGCCCCACCCTGAAATTATCCCGCAGTGTCCCTGAGTCCCTGTGGTCATCGGATAAAAACAGACAAGTCATAGCCTTGTCTCAGGGCTGCCTTGGCCTCCAGAGACGCTCTGGACTCCTGGACAGCCGTTTTCACGCCCAGCCACTGCCGACACTTCCCCGGAACTTGTCTTTGCAACATCTTTTATAGGGACTCTTGCTGTACCCACAGAGCAACAGCCCAGCCCAGGGAGGTCTGTGTGAGAACAGTCCATGGGAGAAGAGGGTTGGAGGTGGTTGGGGTTGTCACGGATGTGAGTCAGCAGGGAAAGAGAGCAGAACGGACTGGCTAGTGAGATTCGCCTCAGTAGCTCTAGGCTTCCCTCCAGGGGCCATTGGGCTAATGTTGACTGGCCTGGCCTGAAAGGGTTAAGTGTGTGGGTGCTGGGATTTTGAAGGTTTTGATTGGCCTGACTGGTATGTGGAAAGTATACCTGCAGGAGAGCCGGGTCTTAGCTGTAGGAATTGGCTAGCCTACAAGGGGCTCATTCTCTTTATCAAGACCCCCGAGATGTAAGATGTCAAGTTTCATGAGATAAATATACGGGCTGGGAATGTAACTCAGTTGACAGAGCACTTGCCTCGCATGCACGAGGCTCTGGCTTCCACCCACCACCGTAGAAATTGGGCATGGCGGTCCATGCCTGTAATCCCGGGGTGGAGGCAGGAGGATCAAGAATTTGACTACATAGTTCATGGTCAGTCTGGTCTCCATGACACCCTGTCTAAAAGAAAAGAAAGGAAGAAAAAAAGAAAGAAGAAAGAAAGGAAGGAAAGAAGGAAGGAAAAGGGGGAAAAAGACAAAAAAAAGAAAACAGGAAAAGAGGAGCGGAAGTAACCACAGGGGTAGCTCAGAGAAATGGAGTAGAGTCGTCGGGACAAGATTCACTAGCCGGCTAAATCTAAACCTTTGAGCAACTGTTTTACCTACATGGGGGCTTGTAGATCCTCTCCTCTCCTCCCCTGTCCCCTCTCTCTCCTCCCTGTCCCCTTCCCCTCTCTCTTCCGTATATGTAAGCACAGAAGTAGAATCTGGAGTCAGGCTGACAGCCAGCCAGTCCCAGTGAGCCTCCTGTCTGTGCCCCCACACCACCGGGGTTAGAGGCAGTTGCAAATACACACTCAGCTTGCTTTATGTGGGTGCTAGAAGGTGAACTCAGATTCTCGGGCTTGCACAGTGAGGGTGTCAACTCGCTGAGCCACCTCCCCAGCCCCTTGCTTGAGCCTGACAGTTCCTCAGTCTGTAAAATCAATAACTCTTATTCATTCATTCATTCATTCATTCATCTGACAGATCCCCATTGAAGGGGACATACAGTGTCTTGTCAGTGTACCCGTCAAGGCCATGCATGGTTCGGGAGTGACATGGATGGTGTCTGGCACCCTGAAGATGCCCAGTATGTAATCTCTGGTGTCTTTGCTTCATAAAAACAGCGAGGTTGGGTTGGAAAGTAGCATCCAGGCCATTTCACCTGAGTGCTTTGATCCCTCGAGCAGGGTTGTGTGGGGACAGAACTCTCAGGAATGTTCTTGGAACTCAGAGGTGCTCTTGGACAAAGGCTGGCTCGATAGCCAGGAGTCCCTGGAGTCTCAAATGCTGTGTTTGCAGGCCAGGGCTTTGGGGGGTGCCAGGGACCTGAGTAGAGAGCATGGCACAAAGTCCCGTCCACTTGGGGGCCTGGAGTCAGCGTGGCACCGGGGAGGAAGTCCTAGCTAACCACAGGCCAGCCAAACAGCTGTGGGTATGCAGGGGTTTGGGGATCCTAGGAAGGGAGAAAACCAGGCAGCTGCCAGCAGAGAAACCTCATAGAGGCCACATTGGAAACCCTGCATTTCCTCTGTCTATGGCCACAACTGTTTCCAAGTGTCCAGCCAGACAGGAAGGTAGGAGCCCTAGAAGATGAACTTTATGAAAGACAGAACCCCAGAGTTGAGAGAATTTTCCCCTCTAGGAGGGGTGGCATGGTTCAGTGAGGGGTCAAAGGCCTGGGTTCACATCCTGTTTCCACACTATTGGCTGAGTGGCACTGTCTGGCATATTCCTGGCAGTCTCTGAGCCTTATCTTTCCCCTTAGCAAATTCGGACAGTGGCACCTGTAGGGCTGTCAAAAGGCCCGCAGCATGCCTAGGGACCACAAGGCCCCCCGTGGCCGTGACTCACTACAGGTGCTAGACTCCGTTCTGGAGCACCCATTCTGGCCAGTCAGTGCAGGATAGTGGGGAGACCAACAGCTAAAGCTGTCAACTACCCATCAGGGAACTCAGAGACACCAGCCACATGAACTACAGGAACAAGATACAAGCTCCAGCTCCCTCCACCCCCAGTGCCCACCACTCTACTATCGACTCTGAAGGCTGTGTCCTGGCCCCCTCTCCCCTCCGCCCTTTACATCTTTAGTGTGTGGTATGTATGTGTATGGGCGTGCACTTGGAGGTCAGTTCTCTCCCTCTACCACGTAGGTCCCAGGGATCAAAGTCAGGCCATTGGGCTTAGAGGCTGGCACCTTTACCCACTGAGCCATCTCCCCAGCAGCCCCTCCATGCTGACTCTTAGCTGTCTCTAGAGTTAGTCAAGTCCTGCCCTTCATCTTGTGCCAACAGTATCCATTTATACATCTACCGAGGGGACAGAGTAGAGGGCACTTGTCACTGCCACTTCTGGTGGCGACAATCATGACTCTCTGTCTCCAGGGAATTCCATGGATCAAGCCCCGAGGCTTTACCTCTTGCCCTCATCCTGTCTTTTCTGGCTAGAAAAGTTGGATTGCCCAATGAAGGAGGGAACAGGCAGACCTACTTTGAGCCGGGTGGGGTCCGAACAGGCCTTGGCAGTGACAACTTATTTAAAAGACACCATGGGATATGTTTTGTTTTCCAGAACCTAAGAAATGAAGGGCCTCCTCACACTGGCTTGGTTCCTGGCTTACAGTAAGTGTTGGCTCTGTGACCTCTAAATATGGCTCCCCCACCCCCAACCTTGGGAGTGACTGGGTAGTGGAAAAGAAAGCGATCATTAGCCTTTGAGGTGAGGAGACCTGTGTCTCCATCTCAGCTCTGCCCTCACGGTGCACGCGGAGATACCAGCTAAGGCCTTGGCCTCCCTTGCTTTTGCAGTGGTGGACATGGTTTTGTGGCATGATTTGAACACAGTAGGCCAGGGTGTGAAGGCTGTGAACACGAAGATAGCTTGCAAATGTGGAGGGCAGATATTTCCCTGATGTGTAAGTGTAGAATAAGGGCAAACAGGGGGAACAAAGTGGAACACAAAACACTTAAGAAATATCCCAGCTTAGGGCGGGGGGCATCTCAGTAGTAGAACACTTAGAGCATAGTTTAAGGAAGGAAAGGGGAGATGGATGGATGGATGGATGGATGGATGGATGGATGGATGGATGAACGGATGAATGGACTGACAGACAGACAGAGATAGAGTCATTCTTTGTTCAGCGCTGCATACCACCCCATCTGGGAGGTGTCTGAAATGTTGTGGGGTTGCCACCAGAGAAGACTGTAGACATAGGTTTAAGCCGATAGAAAGTCTTCATTAGCTGTCTGGGTGATTGAAGTGTAGCCCCGAGCCTTTCTCAGAGTGAGCTTTTAAACACAAAAACCATATCCTGGGCTGACATACTTCAGTTCACAAGAACAATTAGCCAGAAGTAGAACTACCAAAGCCAAAGGGCAAGGTTAGTACAGTTAGAGACTTTCCCAGAACTACAGACTTTGATGGATTGGGTCTTTGTTTTCATTTTGGCTGGTGCTGCTGTCTCCATGCTGAGTTTTACAGCCTGAATGGTACTTCCATCATGGAGTCAGTTGTGCTAAGGTCTGGGGGCCTGTTATAGGACACCTGGCTTTAGGCTTCACTGAAGCCCCCTAATCCCTCATACAAGCCCCTGGTGAGCTTCTCCACTCTTTGATGTCTTGTGAGCTATCTGGAGAGCTGGGAGGAGCTTGAGACATAAAGCAGAGAAAAAGCCCCTGGCTCCTTGCAGCAAAAGTCATAGACAAGCTACATCCTTCTAGATTTACAGGAGCCTCAGTTTCCCAATTTGTGATATGAGGGAGCTGGCTTCAAGCTATGGCCTACTCTGCTTCTAAATTTAATTTTAAAAAAAACGGTTTTTTAGATAGTCCAGGCTAGCCTTGAATTTGTGTAGCTGAGGATGACCACAAACTTCTTAACCTCCTGCTTCCACCTTCCGAGTGTAGGCATGCTACACATTCAGTTTACACAGTGCCGGTGATCAAAACCAGAGTTTCACGCATGCTAGGTGAGTCCTCTGTTAACTGAGCCACACCCCTCAGCTCCCAAGTACAAACTCTTCTATTCCAGGTAGCATGCTCTCATCTCCCTGACCCTCCTCCCAGTGACCGGGTGAATAAGAGAGGGTTGAGAGGGTGGGGGGTAGCAAGTAGATCTGCAGCAAGGTGCCTGGTGTCACCTGCAGGCTTGGGCTGTTTTCCAGGTGTTTCTCCAGTCCCAGGGGGCTTGCTAGAACTGAAGTCCATGATTGAGAAGGTGACCGGGAAGAATGCTGTTAAGAACTATGGCTTCTATGGTTGCTACTGTGGCTGGGGCGGCAGTGGGACCCCCAAGGATGGCACTGATTGGTGAGCTGACATCATCCCCACTCTTAATGTTCTGGGCTCCGCCCTCATCACCGCCCCTGACTCCATGTCTATTCTAAAAGATGAGAATTACAACTGAGGCTCAGGACCGGAGAGATAGCTCAGTGGTTAGAGTGCACACCGCTCCTGCTAGTCGACCTGAGTTTGGTTCTCAGCACGCATGTTGGTCAACTCACAACCACCTGTAACTCTAGCTCCAGGGGACCTGATGCCTCAGGCCTCCCTAAGCATCAGTGCTCACATGTGTATGCACTTGCACACACATACACACACACACACACACACTGACAACCTGAGCCACAGCCGAGGGTCTCACTATGTAGCTATGGCTGTCCTGGAGCTCACTATGTAGACCAGGCTGGCCTCGAACTCAGAGATCCACCTGCCTCTGACTCCCAAGTGCTGGGATTAAAGGCGTGCGCCACTACACCTGGATTCTAAAATAAATCTTAATATAAATAAAGCTAAGGCTCAGAGGAAGTAAGCAGCTTTAAAAGGTATGCCACATGAGTGTCAAGAGCCCCGACATCTCAGTGGCCTAATGTGTCACCTGCTTTACTGAAATATAGAGATGATTGAAAATATAGAAGTATTGAAATGATCCTTATGTGTCGGCTTAATGCAACTGTGACTGTTTACTTTGCTCATGAGCCTGCTGCCTGGGGAGGCCATGGCTGAAGTTAGATGATCCACAGTCCAGGCAGCTCATGGCTGTGGCTCAGATTGTCACTGTCTGTGGGTAGATGCTCGGGCCCTTTCTATGGGTCCTTTGCCGGGTCGTGTAGACTTTCTTACAGCATGGTGACTCTTGCAGGTTGTGACGGTCTGTATATGCTTGTGCCAGGGAGTGGCACTATTAGGAGGTGTGGCCTTGTTGGAGTAAGTGTGTCACTGTGGGCGTAGGCTTAAGACCCTCAGCCTAGCTGCCTGGAAGTCAGTATTCTGCTAACAGCCTTCAGATGAAGATGCAGAACTCTCAGCCCCTCCTGTACCATGCCTGTCTGGATGCTGCCATGCTCCTGCCTTGATGATAATGGACTGAACCTCAGAACCTGTAAGCCAGCCCCAATTGAATGTTGTCTTTATAAGAGTTTCCTTGGTCATGGTGTCTGTTCACAGCAATAAAACCCTCACTAAGACAAATATTCCCAAACTACAAGGCAAAAGAGGATAGCTAGTTGGGTGTAGAAGTGTGAGCCTGCTATCTCAATACTGGAGAGGCAGAGGCAGGGAGAGCAAGAGTTTGAGGTTGCTCTGGGCTATATAGCAAGTTCCAGGTCAGCCTCAGCTGCATGGCAAGACCCTGTCTCAACAACAATAAGGGATGATATTTTTATCACAGACCTTGAGAACTCCACAGTGTGTCTTATGTAGCCCTCTTAGTTGGTTCAGCCACTAAAGCTTAAGAGAGAAGAGGCCTAGGTTACTCCATAAGTGTACAGCTACAGTCAGAGGAGGAATACGCTTTGATGCTCTAACACAGTGGTTAATGGTGCGGTGAGCATCTCAGGAGAGATTTTTAATGGTCTCAGCACAACGAGATGCATGTTTGGCGCGATGGAGAAGTGATTTACATCCCTTTGATGGTTGCAGAATCATCATGGTTGCCTTAGTTACCTTTCTCTCTCGCTGTGATGAATGAAGTTGCTACCTGAACAGTATAAGGGACTAATCCGTTATTTTGGCTCACAGTTTCAAAGGACTCGTGCCCACTTGGGTCCATGTTTCTGTGTCTGTTTTGGGTAGGATATCCTGATTGTAGGCGTGTGTGGCATAGGAGCTCTTTCATGGTGAACAGGAAGCAGAGAGAGGGTTTCAGAAAGATGACAGGGCAAGATTATCATTGGCAGGGATGCACTGCCAGCAGCCCACTTCTTCCGAATAGGACCTACCTCCATCATGTACCACTTCCTGATAATGCCCTCATATCATGAATCCGTTCGTTGAGGAAGCCAGTTATCAACCCTCATGATCTAATCTCTGGGAAAGCCTTCAGAGACACATCCAAGGGTGGGGTTCTCTAATTTCCTAGGCTGCTGTTAATCTAGTCAAGTTGATGGTCAAGATAAACAGTTTCAGTGGTATGATGTATAGCACAGCATTGTGCCCACCGATGTGTCTAGATACTGTGTGTCAGCTTTTAAAGAGCAAGAGAGGATCTGGCGTTTTGCTAGAGCAGCGTAGCCATTCTAGAAGACTGTGTTAGACAGGACATGTTGTTCTTTGAACGGCTCAGGGTACAGGGGTAACAGTTCTGATGCCAGTGGGGGTGCCATGATGGGTGGCATCAAATGACATTGGAGAGTTGGGGCCACACTGACGTGGGACTGTATGGAGAAGCAAGGGGAGGGCTTAGAGTTACCTCTGTGGAAATGGATTGTGGTTGAACACATCATTATAAACTCCTGTTTAGCTTAGTGTGTGATATTGTATAGGAATTTATAGGTATGGGGCTGGAGTGGTGACTTGGTCATCGAGGTCTAACTGTACAAGAATGAGGACCTGAGTTTCAGACGCTGTCGAGGAGGTGGAGACAGACGCATCCCTGGAGCTTGACAGTCAGCCAGTCTGGCTGAATCAGTGAGGCTCAGGTTCCAGTGAGAGACCACGTCTCAGAGAGTAAGGTAGAGAGTGATTGATGGAGACACGTGACATTGACCTCTGACCTTCACGTGTGTGCAGGGACACCGATGACATAATGCCTGGCCCCAGCAGCTTTCCTTAGTCATGGAGGGAGATTCTACAACTCCTTTCTTGTATCCTTGACTCTAAAGCCAGAACCAGGTGGCCGAAGCTGCCAAGGTCTGCTGCTTCCTGGAGCCAGAGCCTGGGCCCCTCGTTCAAATATATTTTCACCAGCTTTCTCTTTTTGATTGTTTCCTTCATTACCTAAGTCTGGCTGTTCTGGATCTCCTCTGTAGACTAGGCTGGCCTTGAACCCAGAGATCCATCGGCCTCTGCCTTCCCAGTGCCATCTTTATTCAAATCACCACACCTACACTCTGTCTAGCCATTGGGATTAAAGGTATGCTCCACCTTGCTTGGCCCCAAACTGTTCCCGAATTCCTTTTCACAAGCTGGGTGGGATCATGCTGGTCACCGGTCTCTTTATTCCACCCCGCTTCAGGAGATCTGTGTATCTCCTTGAAACCCAGGATTTAGCCCCACTCCATTTCCTTGTGACACCTCTTTTCCCCTCCTCCAACTGTACATTTGATCAGTTTGCCCTTCTTCATTACAGATCTGCATAAGACTGACCACTAATAAATAACCGAGCAACACATACTAGTTTGTTTTGAAATGCCCTCTGCCAAAGCTGTTAATCCAAAACTGTTTAATTTAGCTTCAGGCTGATTTTATTTTATTTTATTTTATTTGGATAAGGGCAGAAAGCAGCCACAATTTTTTCTGTCTCTAGGCCACATACTAAAATTCTTTTTCTCCGAAAGGTCTTGAGCGGAGTCCCCACAGTTCAAATCACCCTCAGCACCACTGAGTCTCCCATGTTCCTACAAGTATGGCCCTCTAAGCCCCACTTACAGTGTCCAGTCATTTTTTCTAGTCCAAAGTCCCCAAATGTTCCACATTCCTCCAGACAAAAGCATGGACAGGTGTATCTCGTACTAGTCCCTGGTAACCACTTCTGCCGAGTCAGTGTTCTATTGCTGTCAAGAGACACCATGACCACAGCAACTCTTATAAAGGAAACCATTCAGTTGAGGGGTGGCTTACAGTTCAGAGGTTTAATCTGTTATCCTCACGGCAGGGAGCACGACTGCATGCAGGCAGATGTGCTGGAGAGGTAGCTGAGAGTTCTACACCCGGATCTGCAGGCAGCAGGGAAGGAATGCCACACTAGACCTGGTTTGGGCATCTGAGACCTCAGAGCCCACCCTCAGTGACACACTTCCCCCAAGATCACACCTACACCAACAAGAACACATCTCCTAATAGTGCCAGGCCCCATGAGCCTATGGGGGCCATCTTTATCCAAACCACCACACCTGCACTCTGTCTAGCAATTAGGAGGCAAAAACAGGTCTGTGAACTTCTGACCAGTGGCAGTTCTAGTGGGTGAGAGGAGCTAACTTACCAGACACCATCCCTGCCGGCTCACACCTACTTGCCACAGATTCTACCAGAGGAATGTGGCTGTTGTCTCTTTCATACCTGCAAGGCATTTCAGCCTAAACAGCAGTCAGAATCTCCAAAGAATAGCTATTGATTTAGGAACAGTGGTGCATTGCACTAAGATTTTGAATGCTGTAGAAACTCTGGGCCTATTCCAGGAGGGTGAGCTAAGGGGAAGTTTAAATTAGCAGGAGAGCCAACACCTTTACATAAGCTGCTTAGAGACCAAGCTCATTGGTTGTGGAGACCCGAGGTAAGAGCTGCCGTCCGCCTATTGGTGGAGATGCTTGCTGTTGCTAGGCAAGCCTTCTATGTAGAGCATCTTGCCTGAACTGTCACAGTCTTAGAGAAAGTCAAACTTTGTCCCAGATGTCTGTGCTCATAGGCAAGGTACATAAAGCTTGGAGTGCATACAGGGCAAAGAGAGAACCTCTCGTCAGGGAGAGAGGTTAAAAAATCCTTCAGAGAGAATTTAGCTTAAACATCTAAGCACAGTGTACACCAGGGACCTATGGTTCTAATTTTGTTTAAATTTGACTTGAACTCTGTCGCCTTGGACTCTGCCACAGGTAGGGGGGTCAGGAGGGTAGCTCTTCACTCAGCATCGGCATCTCTCCCCTCGGCAGGTGCTGTCAGATGCATGACCATTGTTATGGGCAACTGGAAGAAAAAGACTGTGCCATCCGGACCCAGTCCTATGACTACAGATTCACACGGGGCCTAGTCATCTGCGGTAAGGGTGGCTTCCCTTTCAGACTGGGAATTCTGCTGCCCAAGAGGTGGGACTGCCTGTATCTTGTGAGGGAGAGTGAGACTGAGGAACATGGGGCTGTGGCAACCTCTTTAGACTTCCAGGAAAGGGAAGTCTCAGTTTAAACTCAGTATTCACCAGTACTGTGGGTTTATACTTCCTCTCCCTGGATAGAGTTGGTTTCATCTCCCTTACCTCGCACGTGTGGTGGAAGCTGAGAGGTTTGCCAGTATGCGACAGGATCCATGCCCAGGCCCCTGAGTTCAAAGCCAGTTACATCCAGGTGCATCTCTATTTAATGCCTCCCACAGAAACTGGCTCCACCCTCAAGCTAGGCACTCTACCCAAAGGGAGTGTGTCTACACCACCAGACTGGGGACTCCCTGAATAGAAACTTCAATCAAGATCAAGAGCTGGGCATCTAGTTCAGCGGCAGGTCTCCTCCCTTAGATTACGCATCTCAGTTCAGGACGTGAATTGAAGCTCTTCCGTCAGATTGTGTATGACCCCGATTCAGAGTCCTCCTCCACACACTGTGAGCTCCTTCAGAGCAGGACCCAGATGGGGGAGGAGTCTATGCAGACTAGAAGTCCCCCTCTGATAAGACTTTGAACTAGTCAGCATTGGTGGCTGCAGTCTTCCCATGCTCATTCTGTACTTGGCATCCGTTTTGCAGAACACGGCTCCTTCTGTCCAGTGAGGCTCTGTGCCTGTGACCGGAAGCTGGTCTACTGCCTGCGGAGAAACCTCTGGAGTTATAACCCCCTTTACCAGTATTACCCCAACTTCCTCTGCTAATGCCGTCCTCTGTGGGCTCTGCCCTGGGGGTGCCTCCCATAGTGTCGGTCCCCCTATGCTGTATTCCTGACGCATCTCCGACCCCCAATGTCTTGGATCTGTCTTCCTCTGTGCACCACTGGGCTGGACAGAGCCCCAGGGCTATACTCTTTCCTCCAGAGTCCTGGAGAGGGACTCTGATCTAGAGTTGGCAGGCTCTCAGGATGGGTGAGCCTGCACTTGCTAAGTTGGCTCCGGGCCCTGGAGCTTCCTCAGCTCCAGGCCAGCGCAGTGTTGAGTTTTCTTTCAATTTCTGGAACCCAATTGTCATTAGCACCCTCCAGAGACCTTTTACTCGAGGAGAAGCCAAATTAACTCTATAAATCTGTTATGTAGATATTAAATAAAACCCATTCTCAAGGCTAGAAAACTATCACCCCAGCACTTCCTCTGACGGGGCTGAGGTAGGATCGCCCAGGCTTTGTTAACCCCTGAGGCATCTGTATGCTCTCAGGGATGGAGGTCAGGAAACAGGTGGGAGCCTTAGATGCCTTTCATGGTTTGTCTTGAGTTCGTTTTCTTAAACCTTAGGATCTTTCAAGCCAGACCCGGGGGCTCAGGCTTCTTCTGGAGGAAGATGAGACACAGCCCTACACCACATTGAGCTTCTGGGTAACAATCAGATCCCAGCCCGGGCTTCTGTAGCTGTGTGGTCTTGAACCTCCAGATAGTCTGAATCTCTGGGTCTCCTCAAAATATAAAACAAGACTCCTTCCAGGAGCACACTGATGCACACCCCTGATCCCAGAACCTGGGAGGTGGAGGCAGGAGAATCAGGAGTTCAAGGCCAGCCTCTGCATCCTAGCAGGGACGGTAGCCTAGACTACATGAGACTGTGTCTCAGAAAGGACCAATTAACTAATTAAAACGAGGCTCCCAGTGCTAGCCTGGTGCAGATGCAGGATGCTGGGGTTCTGAGATGTCACTCAAGGCAAAAATGGTTTAAGATTCAGGGGGCAGTACAGACCAATAGCAGAACGATTGATTATTTTTCACCGAGTTAAGGGCACTAAAAACCTGAACTCATCTATTGCTTTATAAAAAAAAAAAATAGAGCTTTCTCATAGCAACCTGACGGGAAGAAGAGATGTGCTCAACACTAAAGAAGCGTCCCTCCCGAGGAAGGGTCTAGGCTTCTTCACACGCATCTCCAGAATATGCACAGGACACATGAGGTCTATATTTAGAGATCTTCAGTGTTCGAACATTTTCTAAATAAAGCTAATTATATGAGATTACCCTGAATTCACACGTTTTGGTGTATGTTAGTAACTATATTTAAACAATAGCAGAGTGGGGCTCACATGCTGGTTTCACTCATGAAAATTTCAAAATCAGGGGGGTGCTGGGGAGATGGCTGTGTTGGTAAAGAGCCGGCTACAAGGAAGCATAAGGACCTCAAGTAGAAAAAAAACCCTAAAACAAACAAACAAACAAACAAACAAAACCCAACCAAACAGCTGGGCATGGTGGTGTGTGCCTGTGACCTCAGTAGTATGAAGGTGAGACAGGCAGATTCCTGGTCTCAATAGCTGCCAGACTTACCAATTTAGTGAGTCTTGGGCCAGTGAGAGACCCTGCTTCAAACAAAGCAAATAACAGTGAAAATTCCAAACAAGGAGGACCATACCTGGGGAATGGCACCTGAACCTGTTACACACACACACACACACACACACACACACACACACGCGCATTTGAGTGCATGCCATTGAGCGTGTGCACACACACACAGGCACACAAACATGCATAGACACACTCACATGCACATGTACGTGTACACACACACACATGCATACATGTACTTTCCTGTGCCTGGGAATGAGCACAAACACATACACTCACACACATTTTAAAAAAAAAAAAAAACCTCCCTGCCACCCAAATCAGAACCATTTCCAGAGCTCAGCCTGGGTGGGTTTGTGAGGGATCACAAGTGTCCCTCTGATCTCTTGTGTCTTCAGTTGAGATTCATGAAGAGACCTGGATCCCTGCTTCACCTGTCAGAGGTCAGGGGTCAGGGGTCAGGGGTCAGGCTTGGTGTGATGCTGCTGGCAAATCCCACAGAAGGGCAGATGGTCAGGTCCCTCTCTTTTGATCTCCTAGCTCCAAGCCCCAGCATCTGAAGAAGCTCAGCCAGGCCAGAGATGCTGTCAGGTTAGAAAAACAGGAGCCCAACATGGGGGCTCTGAACTGGAAGGGAGCGTGCAGAGCCTGTGTGTATCTACGACGTCCAGGACAGGTTGCGAGGCTGATCTCACATCACACAGTGTAGCAGCACCAGCACAGACTTAGACTGGGAGACTTTAGACTCCTAAGCCCCCACTTTACCCACCAACTCACACTGTCTTCAACTCCAGTTTAGTGAGGGAGAAAACAAAATACAGGACGCTTCAGTGACTCCCCAACTCTGGGGCTTCACAGAAGACACCCCTAGACGCAAACCAAGAGCCAGATACTTCTCTGCTTTAGCCGCCTCTTCGAGTTCCAGAGGCCATCCCCAGGTGGTTAGTCTAGCGGGCTTCTAGGATTCATCTTGCCTCTGTGGAGCGGCATGCAGGGTCTTTACCATCTTGGACTCAGCTTCACAGCTGTGACCATCTGAGGAAACACTTAAGTGAACTCCCAAGCCTGTGAAGAAAGCTCCCATGTTTGATCTGCCAAATCCCTAGCAGAAACACTGTCAGAGTACTCATCTCCCTGAAATTTCATGTCTACGCTTTAAGAGATATGGATATATGCAAGATATAAAAGTCAGCGCAGAACATGAATGCATGCTTGACAGGGCCCTGGGACCACGGGACCCATGCCAGCATCTGAAATTGGGCTTTAGGTTCATATGTGACACCTATATAGGCCAAATGTACGAACACATGGATGTCAGGGTGTGCATGCATCAGTGGGTATGTGCATGTGTGAACATGTACATGTGTTCACATGCTCATACTTGTCCCCAGACTGAAAAGGAGACAGATAATGGGGAAACCTTCTAGTGGTGACTGAGTAGGGAAGGGAGGATAAAGCAAGCCATACTCATGTGGTAGCAGGCGTATTGAGCTCGGCCATGCTGCGTGCTGCCCTGTGTGAGGCAGATGCTCTCTTCCCACAGCGAGAGTGGCACCAGAAACTCAGGGAGGTGGAGTGCTTTGCCTAAGGCTACACAGGTCCCCAGGAAGTTAGACAGGAAGGAAGCAGCCAGCTGCCTGATGTTCAAGCTGGTACAGATGGTATCCTCCTGCCTCAGAAGCTGGGGGCAAGGGCCAGGTCTTGCAACAAGTCTGGAGGAAGACACATTTTGTTTCCCCTAGGGCGAGTGTGGTAAGCTAAGCCTGAGTGGTGCTTCCCAGAGTTCCTTTCTCTGCAAGCACTGGGTTTGCAAGGGAGTGGGGTGGGGGTGAGAAGGTGTCTTGGTAGTTTGTCTAGAAAACAGAAGGGAAGACACATGCATAGGAAGGTCAAATCTGCTTGCAGCTCAGACCTGCTGTGCAGGCTGGCTTGCCTGGAAGGTGGGAACCTTCTGGGTCTCTCCTTCCACACTGTGCTCAGGTATGTTTTTGACTCAGTGAGAGTGAGAGAGAGAGAGAGACAGAAAGTTGGGGGGGGGGGCTTATGCCAGAAGGGACAAAGCAAACTAGACGCAGGCGGGTTGGACCTTTTTTTTTTTTTTTTTGCATGGTTCCAGGCTACCCCGGGAGGAGCTCTCTCCTTCTTGGCTTCCAATCTGACCTCTCTATCCACGTCACTCACCTTACAACCATCTTTCCTTCCTGGCTGTTTGGCCTGCTAACTTCCTGTAGCAGCAGGCACAAAGGAACCGGCCTCCCCTACCATACAAAGTCAGTCAGATCCCTGCATCTGTGTATCCTTGCAGAGTGGTGTCCTGCCTCTGCCTGGCCCCTGGATGGCATAGATTTTGTTACTAGCTGTACTTCCCAAGGAACAGAACCGGAAGGCAGCTTCTGGATTATCTGGGATTGGTTTTTCTTATTATTAAAACGCATTTATGGCTGGATTTCTTTCTCTGTGCAGCTCTGGCTATCCTGGAACTAGCTCTGTAGACCAGGCTAGCCTCAAATTCAGATCTGCCTCTGCCTCTCGAGTTCTGGGATTAAAGGTGTGTGCCACAATCCCCTGGCTATGACTGGATTTCTGTGGTAAAGGTGACATGGATCATGGATTTTTCCACAGCCTGCAGGGCTCAAGCTGTGTCCTTAGTGGTTACTACGCATATTCCAAGCGCATAGTCCTTGGATGGCAAAGTAATTAGTGAAATTAAGAATAGGGAATAGGAGAGATTATAGGGTCCCATATAGATCTTATAGGAAGAAACCATGAATTAGAGGCTTTAAATTCCCACTCAACACCCACAGGGGACATGTGTGTTTTCTTGCTGCCTGGACAGAGGTGGGCAAGGCACAGAGAGGCTGGGGTGGGAGAGCCCTGGAGCCTCTAGATGGTGCAGCTGTTTAGAAGTGTTTGGAGCACACCATCGCTGTCCTGTTCCACAGATGTTTGGCTGTGTGACTTGCTCTCTGTCATAGAACTCTGTCATGTCACAAACACTGGCTTTAGCTGTCAGAACTGCACTATTCCTTTGCTTTGCAATGGGCCATCAGCAGAGACTCTCTGTCCTGTTAACGACCTGGCCAGAGGGACCCAAACAGGGACAGTTCTCAGTTCACAAGACCTCATCATCCTGCCCCTTCCCACAGGTCATGTTGTGCTGGACAGACCTGATGACTAGGGAGAATTTCCTTCCTTCCTTCCTTCCTTCCTTCCTTCCTTCCTTCCTTCCTTCCTTCCCTCCCTCCCTCCCTCCCTTCTTCCCTCTCTTCCTTCTTTCCTCCTTTCCTTCCTCCCTTCCTTCTTCCCTCCTTCCCTTCTTTCTGCCTACCTACCTGCCTGTCAGTCTGTATTGTCTTTTCTTCTTTCCATCCATCTTTCTTTCTGTCCTGAGTATTGGGGGATGGGCAGCGTCTTGATATATAGCCCTGGCTGGCCTGGAATTTGCTATGTAGACCAGGCTGGGGTTACAGGT